AAAGCCCTTTTCCATCAACAAAGGTGCATCGATCCATTACTGGAGGTTTTGTCAGCATAGAAATGTCAGTCAAGGACGTGGGTTCTTTTCCCACCCCGACCGACCCACCTATGCCAATGTAACTTTTCACTGTAGACCAGTCCCTAGTTTATCTTTGAGAAAAGAAAAGGATGGTAAATAGTGTGAGAACCACTGACCTGATCAAAGCATCGCGAGTCACACTCGCACATAGAACGTATAGTACTTGGTAGGGTTGATGAGTGTGTACAGATTGGTGAGTTAGATGTAAATATACAAATAGTAGTTTGTAGGGTTGATGAGTTACATAGATATTATTAAAGAACTTGACATCAACTCCTGCTTTCTGAAAGTAGCTGCAGAAGAACATGTCAGGTCAGGGGGAGGGGGTGGCAGAGAAAAATGGGGATTGTACATTATATGCAACAGCAGGAGAGAAAGATGCTTTCTTGTTATCAATGCCAGTGCTAGCCCATTGGGGCCCCTAAACAGGAATATTCCCCCCACAATATTAAAACAGGCACGTTCTTATAATAAAAAGTGGATAGGGAGCCCCCCTGAGCGGCTTGGGGCCAGAAGCTCTGGTCATTACATCTGGGTAAATTCCTAAGTTCAGGTAGTACTGCCCTAAAAGAACACATGACATATTCACAAACCGGTATTGCCATGTAGACGGGAAGCGGGGAACTGGTGTGGGGACTGGGGAGGCAGAACGAATTGCTGGACGGGGGGGGCAGACAGATGTGGGGGTGGCAGGGACACAGAATTAATTAAATAGGGGTTGGGGGAGAGTTTGAGGAGAAGCTAGAAGGCCTGCAGGAGCTGGAAGTGATTTGTACCAATCTGTGTCACTGGATCTCATTGATATGCATCCGAAGAAGTGGGCTGTAGTCCACGAAAGCTTATGCTCTAATAAATTTGTTAGTCTCTAAGGTGCCACAAGTCCTCCTGTTCTTTTTGTGGATCTCATTGGGGTCTCCCAGTTACAGCTCCTGCTGCAGGAGCCAAGATCACCTTCCTTTATAGCTATGGGGGACAGTTGGCAACAATCATACATGGGAAGGTGCCCTCCCCCCAGCACAGACCCACCCGGCTGGGGGAGCAGCAGCTGCTCCCTTCGGGCTCCCGGATCCCAATGGAGGAGGCAGCAGCTTGTGACTCAGGCCGAAACACGGAGACAGATGGAGCGCACCCTCCTCTCGCTGAGCAGGGACCAGACACAACAGCTACTGAATCAACTCCCCCCACTCCCCTCCCCGCCAGCCCCCCAACTCTGGAGGGATCCATCCAGCGCTGGATTAAGGCGCTGGCAACCTAGGCAGGAGTCTAGGGGCCCGATTTGCGCGTGTGTGAGGGGGCTCAGAGAAGCTGCCCTTGTCTAGACTGGTAGAGGCAGGGTCTGGGGCAGGGGGGCTGCAGCGCGGTGGGTTTATCGCTAGGACCCAGGAGCGGCTGGGAGGCGGCTCTGGGGGGAGCGATCGCGGGGGTCAGTCCCGGCAGCAGGAAGTGACTCGCGGCCGCTCCCAGGCTCCTGGCGAGATCCCCGAGCCCCGGCGGCTGGTGCTGGGAGCCCGGAGCCCGGGCTGCAGCCGGGAGA